TTACACAGGACCTATTAGTCCAACAAAAAAACGCTAGGACTAAATGGGTTAACATTCCCAAATTAGGGATTTAATGGTGCTTTCCCCAATAATCAATGTACAAATAAACTTATTTTTTATTGGGTGCTCGGGTAAAAAATCCAATATTGAATTTCTTATGCCCAAAGGGCCCGTTTGTTTTTCAGAAGTAAAATGAAGGAATTGTTTGTAAGGGGACGCTAGTGAAGGGATAAAGAAAAATTATGTTTGTTTGATAACCAGTAGACTAGTAATAGTTCATGTTTGTTTTGAGAGATAGAAGTGGGATTAACCATGTAAAATTTCACAAATACCCTTTGCATTATTATCAAATTTAGGCTTATACCAACTAAAGAATAAATAAATTTTTACTTAGTGTTATTCTTCTTCTTTTTTTATATTTTTTAAATATTAAAGAATCCAACTATCAAATTTTTTTTACTAAATGTTATTCTTTATATATATCAAATTTTTTTTACTAAATTTTTACTCAATGTTATTCTCTTTTTTTTCTTTTTTTTTTTTTTTGGTGCAAATATTAAAGAATCCTACTATCAATAAATTTTACTCAATTATTTGTGTTTAATATTACATGAGCCATATTATGAGTCTTATTCCAAGTATTATAACAAATTTAGTAATAAACACAAAGGTAAAATAGTCAATTAACCCATAGTCTCAAGGAATTCATTTTTGAATACCACCTCCTCTACACCACTACTAGTCTCTTCATCCAAAGTCTTTCATAGTCCCACGGGACTCTTAATTACATAGCTACTTTCCAGAACAAGCACAATTTTTTGAATCCCACCTCATTACTAGTCCCAATCCAATTGTCCAAACCTAGAAACAAATGGGGCCAAGGTCTATATGCAACTTTATTATGTCCATAAGGACAAGCTTTTGTAAATTGACAAAAATACCCACGTATATATATACATGATTCTCAAAAGAGTAATGTTAGAGATCCTAAAATTTTTACCAAATGTCTTACATGGTGTGGGACCTACACCATGTAGGTTCCACACCCATGTGAAACATTTGATAGAAATTTTGATAAAACTTTTGAGATTTCTAGCATTTTTGTTCTCAAAATCAAACATAAGCAAATCATTTTCTTAGGCCTCATTTGATAACAGGTTTTTTTAGTAACTTTTTGACTTTTTGGTTAAAATATGATGTAAAAAAAACTAGTATGTTTGGGATGACTTTTTGATTTTTTACAAAAAGATGTGCAAAAAGTAGAGAGAAAAGGAAATCTTTGACTTTGTAGTATAGGTTGTTGGCTTTTTGATTTTTTTAGTGACCTTTTGACTTTTTTGCTAAAAAAGCTACTTGCCAAACGGCCTACTCTCTCTCTCTCTCTCTCTCTCTCTCTCTCTCTCTCTCTCTCTCTCTCTCTTTTTCTCTTCCCTACACCACTACTAGTCTCTTCATCCAAAGTCTTTCATAGTCTCACGAGACTCTTAATCCCATGGCTACTTTCCAGAACAAGCACAATTTTTTGAATCCCACCTCATTACTAGTTTCAATCCTATTGTCCAAACCTAGAAACAAATGGGGCCAAGGTCTATATGCAACTTTATTATGTCCATAAGGACAAGCTTTTGTAAATTGACAAAAATACCCACGTATATATATACATGATTCTCAAAAGAGTAATGTTAGAGATCCTAAAATTTTTACCAAATGTCTTACATGGTGTGGGACCTACACCATGTAGGTTCCACACCCATGTGAAACATTTGATAGAAATTTTGATAAAACTTTTGAGATTTCTAGCATTTTTGTTCTCAAAATCAAACATAAGCAAATCATTTTCTTAGGCCTCATTTGATAACAGGTTTTTTTAGTAACTTTTTGACTTTTTGGTTAAAATATGATGTAAAAAAAATTAGTATGTTTGGGATGACTTTTTGATTTTTTACGAAAAGATGTGCAAAAAGTAGAGAGAAAATGGAATCTTTGACTTTTTAGTATAGGTTGTTGGCTTTTTGATTTTTTTAGTGATCTTTTGACTTTTTTGCTAAAAAAGCTACTTGCCAAACGGGCTACTCTCTCTCTCTCTCTCTCTCTCTCTCTCTCTCTCTCTCTCTCTCTCTCTTTCTCTTCATGTCCTCTCCCACCGAAATCAATACTGGAGGAGGTCCTATACAATCGATCTTTGTCGGTGAATCACACATATCCACATCAACAACCACCATATCACTAGTTCCTCAATGCCGATCTCTCACGTCTGCTGATCTCCTTCCTCTCTCTCCTTTGCCGTCATCTACTCATCGCCAAATTCTCTACCACCAACGCCAAACTCAACGGGGCAACCGAGTCTCTGATCTGCCTCATATGGCTCGGATCTCACTCCCCATGCCCATCGTGTCGCCATGTTATCCCAGGTAAGCAACCCAAGAGGGGGGTGAATTGGGTTATTAAAACCTTTACAATATTAAAATTAACACAATATTCAAAATTTTAACCAAAAAAATAATAATAATAATTATCAAAATAAAAGTAAAAGAGATAGGGAGAGAAAATCAAACACTGAGATTTATAGTGGTTCAGCACGCCAAGCCTACGTTCACTCCCCAAGGAACCTCCTTGAGAATTTCTTTACTATCAATTGAATAAATACACCACCAAGCTTGTGAATTTGGCACAAGACTTGCTCTTATCTATTGAGTCTCACTCAACAATAAATGTCTTGCCCTTACAAAATCTTTCACAAAAATAATAAATAAAAATAAGTGGTACTTAAACCCTCTTTTACAATAATTCTCTCACAAAGAGTAGATATGAAAGTGTAAGAACAAATGCTACACTTAGATCTGAAAGTGAAAGAGCAGAATACAATATACTCAGAATTTTAGAGCACACAGAAATTTTTCTCTTCATATTCTTGATTTTTCTCCATACACAACACTTCTATTTATACTCAAAAATATACCCGTTGGAAGAGACAGACGCTCCTCAAGACGTCAGCTGAATAAATCAATTTGGAAGAGAATCATATGGAAGAAATTTTACAATCTTGCAAATTTGAACATCTTTAGGTATTAGTCAAAATTGTACATTAAAGCAAAAAGTTAATGATGACTTTTCACATGCCATGATAATGTTTCTACATGCTAATATATATGATACAATTAATATTTGTGTAAAAGTCTAATTGCTCCCGTGATGTATGCTATTTGTATTAAATGCATTATATATATATATATATATAATATTCTAATCACATATTTGCATACATAGAAAAATCTCTTTAAACAATATTTATGATAGATCTGAAAATATATGTCCTCTTTAAATTAATGTATATGTTGTAGAGATTTTAAACTAAATATATCCTATCACTTCATATAAATTTTGTCAAAAGAAGATAACCCATCAATATCAAATTTGTCAAATTAATACAACTAATCAATATTAATTTCGTCAAAAGGTGAATACTGACCGGCCGAACTTTTCAAAATCGTGAATAGTAATATTTTCAAAATATTTTCATTTAAATAATATGTATAACAAATATAACATATAGCCTATAGTTTAAACAGATTTAATTTTGCGTCAAATAATATAGAACATGTGCATTAAAAAATCCAAATATGTGCATTAAAAGATCCAAATTTTCAAATAATATTTTAAACATCATCAAAATTAAACAACATGATTAACAATGTCCTCATTTTTTATGATGGAAACACAAGTATGTTTTTGACACAAAATTAAAATCAACAAAATATTTGATAACTCTGCAATATATAATTAAATCGCACGCATGCACAAAATATTCTCCCCCTTTGACATCATCAAAATAAAATATTTGAGAGACCAAACTATAATAATGATCCTTAGGTCTTGTCGAGATCATTGTGGGGATTTTGAAGCATTTCGAGCGCACAAAATGTTGACAAACAAAATATTTGAGCAGATATGCATCGAGTATTGGATCGTTGGAGTGTATAAAAAGTGACAAGGATGATAGGCAAAGAGACGAAATTATCAAGTGTTGGAGGAAAAAAAAATTGTTTTAGCTTCTTGTGTAATCATGTCTTTCCTTACCTTAGCCATCAATGATTCGGACTTACATGAGGTACCTGTAATGCAAGCAAATGAGAGGTTACCAGTGGTGCAGGCACATACTATTCCTGTAAATGAGGGTCCTGGTGTTATTGATAATTGAAATGATATTGATGCTATTAATAACACTATGGCTCTTAGTACACAGGCAATGACTGCAGTTTCCAATATGGCGCAACGATTACAAGCAAGAATACAAAAAAATCAACAATGGAGAGATGAGGTGTGCTTGTTAAAACAACAACTGGTTTCTATGTGTAAGGAGAAGAAAGAGCTAAAAAGAAAAAATGCACAGTTGGAGAATGTGGTGCAATATTATGCAACGGTTATAATGACAAAACTCACAGAAGTCGAAAATAGAGAGAGGCATGTAAAAGAGGCTCATGAAAAATTATTGAGAGAAGTGAAACGGAAAAAATCTGTGAAGCCTTCTGAAAACTTACATGTAATCGAGTAATATTTTCTCATTCTAAAATAAAATTGCAAGCATTTTTCCTCCCCTTTTTTTTAATTTAAATTTTGTCTTTTCAAAAAAAAATTGGTGGTGCAGATAAGAAGTAGTGCAGATAAGAAAAAAAATATATACTCCCCCTAAAATTATGCACAGAATATACACACGCCTTTTTTTTATAATAATTGTTAATCTCAAAATATATGAGTCTCCCCCTAAATTAATGCATCAAAAATTACATAAATTTGAAGAAACAAATTACCAATTTATAATACCAAAGGCCATTAAGATCCAGCCATAAACAATTACACCAAGTGTACTAGCATAAAAGGAGAAAATAAAAATAAAAACAATTTCTTCAAACAAGGTAAGAGCAAACATTATTAAATCCAAGAGAGTTTAAAACACATACAACAAGTGAAAAAATATAATACAGTGCAAAAAGAATTTTAACATGTTGATTGGTGATGACCTTGATAATCGGAAGAAATGGAGAAAATCGTGTAGATCGGTGATGGATCTTGGTGGATCAGTAACTGATCTTGTTGGATCGGTAATTGATCTTGATGAATTGGAAATGATGTTGAAGGTCGGTGATGGAAGTATATTAATGAATAAATACACGATTTATTTAAGGTTACAAGAGAAGAAAATGTCACTAATGAGTCATTTGATTAATAACCAAGTAAGATCCCAAGAAGGTTGGAGGAGTCAATATAGCTTCCCTTTGAAGTCCAACCACCTTAGATAGCAAAGCTACCCTTTTAACGAATCTTAACAAAGTATTATTACAAGGACTACATGAGTCGACAAGGAAATAAGGAAAAGGTAATATCAAGATATGTTTAAATATATAATAATTACAAAATCATGTCTTAAATATAAGAATGGATTTATCACTTACAATCTCAAAACATGTTTATAAAACTAGTTTCTAAATCTCCTAGGGTAGCCATATGTCCTCAAATGCTCCAACTTTGCCTTTGACCGGTCTAATAGTCTTTAATACCTGGTATGAAACGCCATGAGCTTTGAATGCCTAGTAAACGCACACACATCTCACCCCTTTTTCCCAATCCAATACACTATCATAATTATAACTAGTAAGCAATGAAGCATGATAATCATTCAATAACAAATAATTATAAGATTAGATGTTAGTAATCTAGAGATCCCCTAAAGAGATCATCTTCCCAACCGTAAGAATTGGACTCGGATTATTTGGCATGCCCCCTCTTTTATTGCTTTGTAGACCTTACCTTGAATGCCTACCAACAGTTATATACCGCGTAGCGCCAACCGAGGACCTCAAAAGAGATGGTAAAAATAAGGGCCTTGCCCATAACCTCCTCTAACCTTATCCATCATAAACACCTAGGGTTCGAATACAACCACTCCGTTCAAAGATTCCGAAACAACTACTTGCGTAAGACTTTACTTTCAAGGGGAACATGTCCCGCTAATCAATTCAATTGGAACATAACTTTATCTCATAACAATACTTATGTGATCGAAACCCCATTAGCCATCCCATTAAGGTTCTCGTTGAAATTCACATTTTAATTAGTTAGTACAAGCGAAAAGGAAAATAAATTTGCATAAATGTGAGCATCTTCAAAGGACAAAAAAAATACATAACCATGACATATATAATATCATACCAAGACATGATTATATATAAGTAAACACATTCATAAAGTCAAGAGCACAAAACATCAATGTAAACAACATTTTCAGATTTAGAGTCACTTAAAGATCAAGATTAAAAGAACTATTTCAGATTTTTTCCAAATCCGGCCTTCCTATGGTTCGTAGATAATTTTATTTAGTTTTCAGAACATTTTCGGAAACGGAATGGCTTTTCTAGATTTTTTGTTACTTCAGAAATACTCCAGCTCTGTCCAAATTTGTCGACCGTTACAAAAATCAAGTTTTCTCACAAACCGCTCACTCTTTTTCAATGAAACCAATTTTACTTGAAAGCTATCTCCTTAAGGAAGATTCTGACATAAAATTAAGGTCCAGAAGATTTTTTGACATTTTTCTATAATTTTAAAAAGTTGGCTGTAAAACAGATTGTTCTGGCACAGTTCGTGAAATAAAAAAGTTGGTGAGAAAAGAAGTCAACTAGGAGAAATTTTATACTTATCTTGTGATGAAAACATGATAAATAATATGTAATAAACTCATAAATTTAAGGTGAAGGTGTGCCTTTGGAAATTTTGAGAGTTTGATATGGAAAAAAGGTAAACGAAATGTAAGAAGGGTAGAACCAAGGCTCAACTCCTTTCATTTTTAACACAAAAGTACCATCAAAACACATCTGAATGAATGTTTAAAACTTCTAAGAGCATGTATTTGAAAGGAAAAATAAGAGAGAGTTGTATTGTGGTTTACTTGATTGCCTAATGAAGTGTTTGCACAATTTCTTCTCTTTTTCCTTTCCTCTACCACCAAAACTCTCTTCCTCTCTTTTTCTCTCAGCTGAATATAGTGTGTATGTGTGTGCTCTTGCATGTAAAATGCTATGGGAGGGGTTGTTTTTATAATGAATTTGGTGCAAAAGGTCATAAATGCCCATTGGTTAGAATTGAATAGGATAGTTTGGATTTAGTTTGAATTCAATAGAATAGTGAAGGATTAGAAGCCTTAATTAGATTCCTAAACATGATCTAGTTAGGGTTTCCTTCTAATCAAACCAACCTAGTTGCATATATACATATATATATATATATATATAAGTTTGTACCAAGTCAAAGATTTTCTTTCTTAAATCATTCAAAATTGTCTCAAAGTACACTCATTACACCTACAATGGTGATGGATGGCTAGTGATGGTGAATTGATGGACTTGTTATATATATATATATATATATATATTTTTGTGTACAAATCTTGGAAATTGTAAAATATAATGTTAAAAAAAGATTTTAGGGTACAAGTGTATATATAAATATATAATAGTACTTGTTTGGGGTTAATTTGTGATTTAATAAAAATATGAGGGCTTGGGCTCAATTAAATTATCTATTTCAAGTGTAGAGTAAATAAATGTTCCCTTGTTGGAACCACTACTGTTTACTGACTGATGGCCATCATTACTGTTCGGTCTTTTAAGACCTACTGTTACTGTTATGCTAATGGATGTACCACATATGACTGTTTACTGTACTGAACAACTGGAATACTGATTGAATTGAACTGTTTTCATTACCGTAAGGACATTCATTCTAAACCTCTTTACGCTTTATGTTATTCACTGGGCTTTAGCTCACTGCTCATATATATATGTAGGTGTCCAGGCACCAGATCGGAGCTAGGAGCGTCAGGGTAACCCCAGTTTTGTCAAGCCAGCCTTGTGCCTCACTGCGAGGTTCCGAGTTGCCATGCTATGGCTTGGGGGGGTTTTGTTTGTTTTCCCCCGCCTGTCTTCATACTGTCTAACTGTTCTGTATAGACTGAATGTTTACCGTACTGTTATCAAGGGATTAGGTCCCTGTACTGTGTGACTGTAAATTCTGTATAGACTGTACTGTTTGTGTATGTATGAATGCATGAAAAATCTTTTTGGCATACAGACTGTCACAGCTCATTGGACATTGTTTAATTACTGTATTGGCTTCCGCCAGGCCCTGTACTCTGTTTTACTGTATTACTGTCCTGCAGGCCTTCGGTAATCTCGGATTACTGGCCGGTTACGGTACTAAACCCATAGGGCCGGGTTTGGGTCGTGACACCAAGAAAATGACAAGTGCCACTAGTGCTTTTGCGGTCAAATCTACATCCCGCAAAGTCGGCATCTGAGAAACAAAAAAGTTCAAATGTGGTTCCCTTAGGATACCATAATTCCAAATTTAGAGTGCCATTTGACTGAGGTGATGTATGACTCTTTCGGTGCGGATTGAAAACATGCGCACATACAAACACTAAACATTATATCGGGTCTACTTGCAGTAAGATAGAGTAGAGAACCAATCATACCTCGATATTTCTTTTCATCTACAGGTTTACCTTGTTCATCTTTGTCGATTTTTATTGATGTGCTCATTGGAGTTGCTACAGTCTTTGATGATTCCATTTCAAACATTTTGAGTAGATCCTTGATATATTTCGTTTGATTTAAATGAATCCCATCATTAGTTTGTTTAATTTGTAGACTAAGGAAATAATTTAATTCCCCCATCATACTCATTTCAAATTCACCCTGCATATCTTTAGCAAACTCTTTGCATAAACTTTCATTAGTAGCACCAAAAATGATATCATCAACATAAATTTGAACAATTAGCATATCTTCCTTTTTGATTTTTATAAAAAGTGTTGTATCAATTTTTCTTCTACAAAAATCTTTGTCAAGTAAAAAATTACTCAATCTTTCATACCAAGCTCTAGAAGCTTGTTTTAAGCCATATAAGGTTTTTGAAAGTTTGAAAACATGATCCGGGTATTTATGATTTTCAAAACTGGGAGGTTGTTCAATATAAACTTCCTCCGAAACGTACCTATTTAAAAAAAGCACTATTAACATCCATTTGATATAATTTAAAATCTTTAAAACATGCAAAAATAAGTAACATTCTAATAGTTTCAAGTCTAGCAACTGGTGCAAAAGTTTCATTAAAATCAATACCCTCTTCTTAATTATAACCTTGAGCTACTAATCTAGCTTTATTTCTAGTAATAACTCTAGATTCATCCATTTTATTTCAAAAAGCCCATTTAGATCAAGGAGTTAAAAACCAAACTTCATTTCTTTCAAATTGATTTAATTCTTCTTGCATTGCTAAAATCCAGTTTTCATCATTTTTAGTTTCTAAAAACAATTTTGGTTCAATTTGTGAAACAAACGCTAAGTTACCACAAACATTTCTAACAGAGGAACGAGTTTTTATACCTTCCGCTACATCACCTATGATGAGGTCTTTGGGGTGGCCATGAGCATACTTCAATTCTTTTGATAAATTTGAGTCGTTTTCTAAAAGAGCATATATTTCTTGAAGTTTTTTCATTGTCATTTCTTCTCCATGTTCACGTAATGGATTTTTTTCATTTTCTTTTATATAAATGTTCTCCATGCTTGGTTGTTTTTCTACAATATCATTACTTACAAGATTTTTGGAAATCATGTTGTTACATTCATCAAAAACAACATGCACAAATTGTTCAACAAGTAGAGTTCTTTTATTAAATACTCTATAGGTTTTACTGGAAATTGAATACCTAAGAAATATAGCTTCATCTGATTTAGCATCAAATTTTTCTAAGTTATGTTTATTGTTATTCAATTCAAAACATTTACAACTAAATGCACGCAAGTGACTAATATTAGGTTTTCTACTTTTCTAAATTTCATAAGGGGTTTTCTTAAGAATAGGTCTACTCATAGCTCGGTTTACAACATAGCATGCAGTGTTAACAGCTTCCGCCCAGAAATACTTAGGCAAATTATTTTCACAAAGCGTAGCACGGCCATTTCTTCAAGAGTTCTATTCTTTCTTTCAACTACACCATTTTGTTGGGGAGTTCTAGAGGCAGAAAAGTTATGATTAATTCCAAATTCATCACAAAACATAATAAAATCATCATTTTTAAATTCTCTACC